CGACCGTGAAGGACAAGGCAAGGAACCCGAGGCATATGGAGACGAGCTCCTGAGTCCTCTCAGTGCACGGAAGCTCTTGCGCCGCAGCTGGAGCCGTCTTCACTGGCTCGTGTGCAATGCCGCGGCTGCCAGCCGAACTCATGGGCGAGACCTCCCTGATGGGTGAGCAGGAGTCACAACACAAGCTGTGCGAGTCTTGCACTTTCTGCAGCTCGTCTTTTTGCGGAGTCAGCTGCTCCAAGTCGCCTTCCTCGAAATCGTCCGAAGCACGGGAGCGGCAGCTGCAGCGAGGCCAAACGCAAAAAGCCACAACAGTCGTCAAAACCACCAGGGTGACGAGACTGTTCCTCTTCCTTTTCTGGTTGCCGAAGGGCTGCCGCCGCGGGCGCAGCGGCGACAAGAGCTGCGAGGAGGCAGACATTGCCGATCTGGGAGGTGGGTCAGCGTGAACAAAAAACTGGCCTGGAGGTGCGGGTGAGAATTGTTGCACTCTGTCTGTACTCTAAGACTGCTTGCAAACAGAGAAACAGCAGGCGCCCCCACACTGGCATGCAGACCGTATAGCCTGCGGCAGCTGCACGTTGACTTGGAAAGCTTCGGTTTGCCTGCACAAGGAGCCCAATGTCTGCCAAACAAAAACTGCGTGCAGTGCTTCCGAGATAAAGACTGCGACCCAAGACTGCCACCTCGCCGTTTCGGCATCGATGCTCACCAATGACCTGACATGTGCCGGTGTAAACTGGAGAAGAAGGCCTTCTAAAGCTGCCAGCTCCCACTTCTACATCGCTGAGTACGGGCAGATGCTCGGAACCCCTCAGTCGCAAAGTCTGTCGACTCCTAAGAGCTGCGTGCTGCAGCAGAAACACTCGGCATTTCGGCATAATAAGTGTGTCTCTCGCTCGTTGATCGTGGGGCCAGAGCTCCTGTGCCAGAGTCCTCTAATTAATTGTTAAAAGCATGCAGCGAAACGAAACGGTGGAAAAACCATTCAACACCAGCGACAAAGGAGTGTTGCCGTTGCCATCGACCTTGTTGACCCGTGCTCCAGCGTTCAGGAGCATCTGCATGATCTGCATAGCCTTCTCGACGAGTGACAAACAAGCATTTTACCGATAGAATGTGTGAAATGAGCCGCGGTGTACTATAGGACGAAGAATGTCGTGGGCTGCTCGGCTACTTGCTTCAGCCATGCCTACAGTCTCCATGCGCACAGATATGCTCAGACTGGATTAAACAAGTCGCTTCTTGCCTTCTCCTACCCAGTAGCGATACGATGCTGTGCGAATGCTTCTACGGCCCTGTTTTGAACAGAATCTCTACCCCCACCCAAGCCCACCCCTGACCCACCACACCTTGGCATTCTCTTTGAGATCCCAGTCGTGGTCGTCCCACCCATACGTCTTCTCTACTGCGTAAGTCAAGGGTGTAGTGCGTCTGCCATCTCCATAGTATCCCGCCCTGTCTCTCCATCTCCGGTCACTGGTCTGGTTGGGATCCGCCTTCTTCTCCAGCGCCGCACTGCATGCCCCGGGCCCTGCATCGATGAGGTCCCGCAGAGAGATACAGTCGGGGTGTAGGTGGCGGCTGTTCAGCAGGTACCAGACCTCTTCGTAGCTGATTTTCAACAGGTGCGCAGTGAACTCGAAGTCGATCCCCTTCTGGAGTTGCTCGACTGGCATCACCTCCACGCGCAGGCTGGGCAAATCCAACTGCTCGGGGTGCAAACCTGGGAAGACCTCCTCCTCCTTCTCCAAACTTTCGAAGCGGGGTCGCAGGAAAGCCCACAGCTTGATTTGGGGAGGACAGCAGCCCAAGCGGGCGGCGAGCTCCTTCTTCGCCTCGTGCACCAAGTACTGCGGCTGGTCGCCCAACTTCCCAAAGTCGAAGGACATGATGTCCACGGCCGTGCCGGAGGCATCTCTGTGCCAGAAGACGAGAGGTCCGCTGGGTTCGGGGCCATGCATCCCCCGCCAGAGGTCGAGCTCCTGAAGCCTCCTGAGCCTCTCGCGACTCTGTGCCGGTTGCCAGTCCTGGAGGCTCCTTCTCAAAGCATCATCCAAGAAGGCATCTCCCTTCTGCTTGAGCTCGTGCTCCGGCTGCAGTGGAAGCGCCTCCAGCCTACTGCTCAAGGCCCGCAGCTGGACACGTGCCTCCAGAAGTGATGGCCACGTCGGATCTGCCCGGCCCCATGGCTCCTCGGGTTCCGGTGGATCGAAGGGGCAGCTCGACTGTCCTGTCCCAGGGGGCGATTCTCTTTATGTCAATGCCGCCGCGAATGCCAGTCCGCATAAAGGAGCGTATACCGACCGCCTCGTTCTCGAACTGCTCGTACAGCTGCGGCAGCACCTGCCACACCCCTCTGAAAGCCAAAGCATAGCTCCGCCGGATGTTGGCTCTTTCGGGCAGATCCTGCAATGCCTGCCATGTGAACCCTGACCGTCGCCTAGCTGAGCCGAAGTCCGCCAGGTACAACTGGCAGTGGGCTTCACTCCACAGCAAGTTCTCCGGCGTTATATCCATGTGGCAGAAGCCACACTCGCGCATCCTGCCCAATGCCCAGAGAATGTCAACCGCGGACCCTAGGATGCCTGCCAAGCGGATGCTGTTGCAACGATTCTGATTGACGTTCAGCTGGGCACTGTTGCTGTGCGTCCAAAGCTGTCGCAAAGTGCCGTCCATCTTCTGCAAGGCCATGCCAGTTACCTGCACACCGCCGATCCATGCCCGGATGTTGCAGAGCCAAGGAACGACGCCCCGGCAATCGCGAAGAAACTGAAGAACCTTCGCTTCCTCTTGCAGCATTTCCTCGCGACGACGCACTCGCTTCTCATCGTCCACTTCGTTCAGAAGGAGCACGTCGTTGACGTGGAAAGGCAACCTGTGGACTCGCGGCAGCTTCACCACTGCATCCGCGCCATTCACCTTGCCTTCCACCGGGTGCACAGTGCCAAATGTGCCCCGGGCGAAAGCAGTGCCCACTTTCAGCACTTCCCCGGTGCCGACGACCTCCGCCGAGCTGGGCGTCGGAAGGAAGGACGACACCATGGCGGTGCGCATGGCACGCAGTCTCCCGACGAAACGTTTCCGAACCTTCCTGACACTCCGACTATGTCTGCAAATCCGTGTTGCATGGATCTTATGGCTTTCCTGGGAGGCCTACACCTACGGGCTTGCTTCGCGATGAAGAGCGCGCAATGGCGAATCGAGGCGAGGGTGAAAAGACCGGTGTCCAGGACGCGTTCCGATCCTACGACGTCCGCTCTGATTAGGCTTCGGACGGAACAGTCTCGCCGTGGAAGTGTCCACGTGCAGCCCTGGCGAAACAGTTCAATTCAAACCGCAGATGGGATGGCTCTCCTCCGCAACTCTGCCTACATGCCTGTTGCCTCTCGGTCAACATTGACTTGGGAGGACGTCACCACACCTCAACCTTTGATGCAAACATGCCTGGAATGAGAAGCTCTGAAAGTTTCGAGAATGCTTCTTGCAGGTTCAAAGCACGGAACTGCTTGAAGCCTCGAGATCCAGCAATTCAATCGTGGGGCGGATGTCTGCAAGAAGACGTCCCAAACAAGACCTTGGCTTGCTGGTGCAGTACTGTACTCGGGAAGCGATGCGCCCTGCCCGCCCGGTGTCCTGTACCCGTGGATGCACAGCGCAACAGTTGCCGTTGTTTTTGATCCGCTTTGGTCTTTGGCTCTTGCTTATGCAGACCTGTACGGCCACAAAATGAAACTAGAAGCATGTTGAAAGTATGCGAGCTTGCAGACTATGCAGCAGGTCCGGTTGCTCTCCACTTTAACGTCACAGCGTGGTTCGCCGACGTTGCCGTGGTCAGCTGCTGGACAACGGACTTACCCACTGCAGGTTTGCAGGGTGCAGCATCATGCATCAGTGAGGGAACTTTGATGAAGATCACTCACATGTTAAATAGGCTGAACCGCTTATTGGTTCATTGGCGTCCGTCATAGGCAGACATACGCATATTCACACAGACACATATTCATATTCATCGGGCGTGAATTTGACCCATGTCACCTGAGCCACCGCAGAGGCATGCACACACTGGTATTCGGATCTCCGCCTACAGTGGGAAGAAGGCTGGCAACTCGAGCCAGGCACCGGGTCATCCTTACTGCGTGGCATTTCTTCTTCATCCTCAGCAAGGGCACTGTATTGAGCTGTGTGACAAAGAGGGCTGGTAACCTGCTTCCTGAGGCCGCATCCTTGAATGCAGCCAGCATTGCTCCCAACGATGGCCTTCCCTTGGCTCGGTGACCGTCTTATCTGTCATCTTCGTACATGTGCAAGCAAGCAAGCACGCCCCCCCGCCTTCACGGGCATTCTTGGCGATTCCGCTATTGGACAGGCGCCCTCCAAGCTGATGCGAACTGGTGGCACCTCACCATACGAATACGGCAGAGAGAAAATAACACGACCAATGCTAGTGAAGAATAGATAGATGCTTGGAGACCTGCCTGGTATATTTTTAAATCTAGGCTTTCACGTCACTACAGTCTCTGATGTGTGACGTCTCAACCTTTAGCGTCCTCTAGGCGGGGTGTGCCGACTTACCCCACACCCTCGCAGTCCCCGGTTCTGGCAATGGCAGAGCTGGCTTCACGAATACGAGATCTGCGATTCGCCAAAACTCTTGTCTAACGCTGGCATGTTCCATGTCGCCCACGCCACAGGCCCGCGAAAGTTGCCCATCTACAGCTCTGGCTGCAGAACACAGCCTCCTCGATCTAAACACCCGGCCCAAGACTTCTGCTGTGACCACCATTTAAGGCAAAGTTGTGCTGCATACTTCCAAACGATCAATGCCCCTCTTCACCGGAATCGCCTAATCCATGCCAAGCTGCGTATGCTGGTTTGGCTGGTCCGCCTGTGTTCAGCCTCGCACACTTGCAGCCCAAAGCCATACTGTCTTTGTTAGGGATCCTGCCAATTCACATGTCATCCTGCAGGAGCTGAGATACGACAGACACCGCAAGACACGATGCAGCACCAGTGGCCAGGTTTCCAGCTTCTCCGCCGACTTCACGTCGACGTTGTAAATTTCGAACTAGGCGACGCCGTGACGCTGAACTCTGCGCAGTCTGCTAAACCCTAAACCTGATGGAGGCAACCGGGTGTGTTCATGTTGTCAGATCTTGGCAGTGAGCGATGCCACGAACCACAGCTGCCGAAGCCTGCCACTCCTTCGCTCTGTGCAGGAGACTTGTGCAATCTCCGGGCAACTAGTGCTAAACAATATAGAGTACGGACTGCTTTGACACTGCCACACCCTGCCATCAAGTTTCGCTGCACTCGCCGCTTCCGGCACCAAAGATCGAAACAAAGCTGCCATCTGGAAGAAATGCATCCGTGCAGCAAATTGCCGTTGTAACCGTTGCAGATCTCGGGATGAAGGTGCAGTGTCGGTGAGGCCAGACGAAGCACAAAAAAATATGGTCCGCTGAGTCACTTTGAGTCGGCGTCAGAGTGGTACACTCGCGGGGCGCTGATAGGAGGAGCCATGCCAGCCATGCCAGCCATGCTAAGATCAGTCGAGATAGCCTTCGAAACCAGCATCTACGTGTCATGCACCCGGCATGACCCACATGCCAGCCTGCAACATCGCAGTGGGAGACTTCATGCCTTTGCCAAACTTGGCCACGATGACTACTTCAATGCGATCCGCCACCTAAGGTTGCAACCCTCGATTGTGCTGACAGGTACGAGTTTGCCGACCTGCGGACACTTGGCCCTCTGCAGCACTAGCGGGCAGCTGGGCATGGCGGGACACAACCTACACGCCCTGCGTCTCACTCCCGCTCTCTGTCAGGCAACACGCGGTGGCAGATCACCGGCTGGCTGGACACTGGACGGTCTCCTGGGCGCAACACGTAGTAGGAAAGGGCTCTGCTGGACGTTGCATGATGTTGCATGGCCTTCGTACGTGAAGGGAACAGAATCATCCGAGGAGCTCAGCCAGGTCGCGCGAGTCCACGTTGAAGCGCTCACACTGAGCAACATGTGAGGTTCCAATCGAACACTAGGTGGCCTCGTTAAGCCTTTCAACAGACCTGCCGTTGGAGTATCACTCATTCCTTAATTCGTGCAGACTCACAAAAGCACGCGCACATGCACGAGAACAAAAACACACACACACACAGAGACACAAGCACGCGCACGCCCGCACGCCCGCACGTACACACGGGGACGGACGGAGACAGGATCGTACCCACCCATAATAATGCACATGCAAACACGGCAAGCAGGAGCTCAAATGCCAAGCTCCTTGTCATTGATTTGATAATGTAAGGGAAGCGAAGCAAGACATATGTACACACATACATACATACATACATACATACATACATACATACACACATACATACATACATACATACATACATACATACATACATACGTACATATACAAATACATGCATACATACATAAATGCCTACACACCTACATGCCTAGATGCCAAGATGCCTACATGCGCACATAGCCGCAGACAGACAGACAGACAGACAGACAGACAGACAGACAGACAGACAGACAGACAGACAGACAGACAGACAGACAGACAGACAGACCGAGAGAGAGAGAGACAGACAGACAGACAGACAGACAGACAGACAGACAGACAGACAGACAGACAGACAGACAGACAGACAGACAGACAGACAGACAGACAGACAGCCATGCAATGCAATGCAAT